ACTTTATTGTGTTCTACCTATGATAAAAGACTGCTTGCCTTCTTTTGAAACTAACAAATAAGATTCCGTGGAATCTGGCGGGAGGTCAGTCCGAGATCTTCTGTAGCTGTGCAGCAACTCAAGGCTAACTCCTTACTTGATTCCTCCTCCGTGTCTGGCTCCTAGTTTCCCAATATCACCCCTCTCTCACAAAAGCCCTCCTTCCTTTTCCATGTTGCTTCCAATGTCTGAGTTCTCATAGGAAATTTAGACGAGAATTGTCTGCCCCAAGTCTAGAATTTTCCCCAGCCTGATGGTAAGATGCTAGATATCCCTTGAGGCCTGCCACCATCTTAGGTCACCTAAAGTTTCACAGTATCCTCCTGTGTGGTGTCTGGAGGACACTTCCATGACCAGTTCTCTCACTATCATGGCAAAGCTACAGAAAGATAGCTTGATCTTATTAATTATCTTTGTAATTGTGGACTGTGTGCATCTAGATTTCACCATTCTGAAATTCTGTCTCTTGCTTTTTAGGAACAAAAAAGATAGGTACTAAAGCTGGTGGCCTGAAGGTCTACTAAATCCTTTCTGCAAAATGGAATCCAAATAAGATCAACAGCTGATATTGGATATTTCTTCTTAGATGGAATTCTTTCTATCAATGCTGCTTTGTTTCAATTCACATCTGCCAACAACTTGAAATCGTCTATGCCTTCTTTGAGCTGCTTAATCTCTCAGCTGTCTGTCATGATTCATACTCAGAGTCTCTAAAGTGCCCCTTAATTCTGTCCATCAAGTTCTGGTAATTGTCCATGACCTGGTCATTTCCTTTTAGGATTGGCAGCACTCATTTAATGGCCAGCCCCTTTAGCAAGCTTAGCACGAAAGATAGCCCTGCACATTCTGTAGGGAAATCTTCAGTTCACTCTGAGTGATAAAGTTCTTATCTGCTTCTCAGTCAAATATTTCTGGCAAACCTCCATGGCAACACAGCAAAACTGGCTGTGCAGCTGGAATTGCTGGGAATATTGAAGCAGCCAAAGTCCCTGGCAGCAGGATGTTCTTAACCTGCTGCTGAACTAGGTGAAGCACTATGACCTCCAAGTTTTTCACTTCGGTCTCTATCCCTTCCTGATGCCATAGCGAGGCATCCACTATATTTTGACGTGATTCCTTGGGTTTTGGCTACCCCAGTAAACTTTATCCTTTCCCCAGAAGAAAGAGAGAGAAATCTGGGAAGATTAATGTCAGGCACAAGCAACCAGATCCACATGTAGAAGGTTCAAGTTGACTAATTTGTTCTACCTATAAAACAAGTATCTGCCCAGACTGCTTGCCTTCTCTTGAGAACCAACAAAAAAAGTTCCATGGAACCTGGGGGGTGTCGTATGTGTGTGTCAGTCTTTTGCAGCTATGCAACAACTCCAGGCTAATTCTCTTTACCTTGCCTGGCTTGATAGCTTCTCAGCAGTTATGTAGAATTACATAAACTTCCAAAGATTCACCTCTGGTTCTTTAATCATGTTTTGGCAAACTTCAGGTTTAATCAGCTATAAAATTAAATCTTGTAAAACTATCTGAATTGTGTATATGTACTACTTGGCATACAGTCTATTTGTTTAGGAGGAAAAATCTCAGATGTGAGCTGCCTCCCAGGTTAAAAAAAAAAGTCGTAACTATATAAACATTACTTAATGGTCAACATATCTAATTATCTACAGGTAGTCCTCGACTTACAACTAGTTGCTTAGTGACTGTTCAAATTTATGACGGACTTATTTTGGAATTATTTATGATCCTGTTCTGAGGTTCCAATGATTGGGCTTCTATAGTCACATGACCAAACTTTGATTGCTTGGCAACAAAGCTGCAGTTAAAACTATTTGCAGCATCCCACAGGCATATGACCTTGTTTTATACCAGATTTGCCAAAAACTGGCACTTCCTGTTTTTGGAAAAATCACGCCCATGGCAAATCATGGATTTGCTTTAAGCCTTTTGTTTAAAAAAAAAAGGCTATAAAATTAAGTCAGTCTTGTGAGCGATCTATTTTATGAGCCTAATAACTTTCAACCATCTACTACAATCAAATGTCAAGGACTACCTATATTCATTTGTAAATGCCATGTTTCCATGGAGTTAGCTGGGCAGTTCATCAGTTCACACTGTCATGAAGCAATAGTGTGGTAGTTCTTCAAAATTTTGACTTTCCAGTTAATTCATATCTAACAATCTGTTGCCAAATTGCATAGACAAGGTGAGCCTCTACATTCCTGCCCCAAGTTATATCTGACAGGCTCTAAATTAATGTAGCATATGCTAAATGAAGTGACTTTTCAGCATATTAAAAATTTATGTATTGGAAAAATAAGTGCTGCTACCAATGAGGGAAGAGGATTAATTTTTTTCCCCACAAGATATATAAATCAGATGTTTTTTCACAAATTTTCTTTCAACATAATAACTATTATGCGGTCTGTTTGATATTTTTATCAGTATAGAAAATAAATTATGGTGGTTTGTTTTGCAGCTTAAGTGATCCATATAGTTCTCTTTGAGGAGTCAAAAAGCAGACAGCTCATGACTTCTGATCAGGACACTAAAGTTGTGGCTGAACCGCAGGTGCAGCAAGTGCAAGAAGTTAAGGATAGTTTTCATCTGGTAAGTATTGAGATTATCTTGACTAGTGGGAATGTGCAAACATAATTAATTAGGCACTGTGTTTTATGCTGTGAAGTACATTTTTTGTGTTTGGTAATTTGTTAAGCTATTTTACAAAATCCATTTATAGCAAATAGTCTTCTCGTGCCACTATAACGTATTTTTTTCAGATTTTAGTTATGGCAACTAATGTTAACTTAAATGAAAAAGTTACATAATTGATATTGCCAGTAACATACGTAATTGATACTACCAGTAACAATGGCTAGCAGATCAGTCTTTTTATGGTTTCACCTTCAAATCCCAGCAGCTCTGAAAGCATTGTTAGAGGCCAAGAATGGTAGGGGTTATGGTTTAGCAAGATGTTTATTCCAGAACAATGGTATTAGTCTAGATTGAAAAATGTGCTGTGATATATTGACAATTTACAATATGCTCACAGTTTCCTGCTACTACACAAACACTTTTCAAAGTATGATTCTCTACTAAGAAATAGTTCATTGCTTCTTCTGGGAAAGTTAGTTTCTACAAAATGACATATAAAAATGAAAATGGGATTTTTTACAATATTGCATGTATTTAATATAAGTATCTATTACTATCATTCATTGGACTTTAAGATTTCTTTTTCGTGTTTAAATTAGTAGCAGAGAAGATAGGCAGTTCATTCATCAAATATCAACAAGGGAAGGAGATATTGAATGAGATTTTGTAAAGGCAGGACTCCAAAGTTAATTTCCCTGTACAATGAGATTGTTAAAATTGCTTACACAATATAATTCTTTTTACCAAATCCCAATGAAAAAAGAACATCCATGTGGGCAAAATTACTGTGATGAACCTTTTAGCCTTTATTTAAATAATGTTGTAATAAAATGTGTATTTTAATCAAACAACAGGAATAGGGTATCAATTACATTTCTCTAAGGCATCTCTTTAATTTGAATCTTGCTTCCTTCATCCATTTTGAAAATTTTTGGAATCAACTTGAATTATCCCACAGGCATCTAAATTGATACTGAAGCCATATCAGAGGTTATCTAAATTGCTGTTAACAATGAAAAGCATAATTTTCATATCAGTGTACTGGTACAAATATTGCATTTCACTGCCACAGAAATTAAAGAGGATTTAAAATTATGATTAGATTTTCATACTGATTTCAGTAGACTTAAATTTCATAAATATACCTTGAATCATTTTTTGGGCTTCTGAATTGATGGACATTGTTTATTTGTCTATTTAAGGTAATTAATTGAATTGTATTATTATATATAACCAATACAGACACTGTCCAGGTGTAAGGGCTTATGCAAGTTTTAACAATTGTTTCAGAACTCAAAACAGATCAATTGATTCAAAATATAGGAATATTTCATGTTTTGTTTATTTTTTGTTTATTAAATTTATATGCTACCCATCTTGCTGTCCAAAGCGATTCTCTTTGGAATCTACTTGCCCAAACAAACTTGAATATTTTAATGTTCCAACATAGGAAAATAAACAATGTTCAGGATAACTTTAGTTTATTTTTTAAAATAAAAGTACCTTGGCCATTTTTTAGTTTGGGTAGTAGAAAGTTCATTTCTTAGAAAAACAATGGAGCAAGAACTTATTTTAAGTTCATATTGTTCCCTTTGGGAAACACACAGAATGGAACAAATTTTTTTCACAGATTTGTGGAAAAACTCCAGAACATTTCACTTTCTTTAAGCTTTAAAATATTTGTATGCCTTATCCATTTCTGTTTTAAATAAAAGCTGTTAAAGTTTTTGAAGTGAGTCAAAAAAAAAGATATTTTTGGCTTGAAGATGTTTTTTTCTTTTTTAATTTTTCCTTTTTAAGGCTATAGTAATGGTGGAGTTTTATTTAAGAATTTGTTATGATTTCTTGCTCTTAATTTGTAGGCCACATGTGTTGTGCGGAAAATTGGATTTCTTCCCCCCTCCCAACAAAATACATTGAATTGAATGTTACTTTGCTCTTAAGTTAATTCCATATTGTATTAAAGTTATGTGTATATACAATATATATCAGTGGCTTCAGAATTCAGCAAGCATTCTCTGGCTTTTTGACAACATTTTTGTAAGGAGAAACTACTGAAGTTCCTAACTTACTCCTTCCTCTCATAGAATACAGTACAAGCCCCCCAAATACTTACGGGGTAAATTTCTCAGTGCAAAACGCCTTGTATGTATAATATACTGAGGCATTTCTCAGAAACTGACCTTAATGTTGAGTGGCAATAGCACATGAGCCCCCTGCACTGTTTAAACAGTACTATTTTTGGCATCTGGGTGTTGGCTTGTCTCTCCAGCAGTTTTAAAGCGAAGTGGTTATATGCAGCAAAGAGCTTACAGCTCTGGGACTTGCAAAGGAGAACTTAAAATGGGCTGCTGTTTCACTAAGGAGCCAAATAACAGCCATAGTGAGAAAATGAGCCTGCTGCAGAAAAGTATAGAAGAGGAAACCTCTGAAAATAGGATAAGTAAAACTTTAACTTCGGTTTTAGAGGCTAAGGAAAAAACGGGATTGCACATAAGCCAGGAAGAAGGTTGTCTAGAACCTACCATTTATAATGACTGCTGCATAGAATCAATTAAGCATCCTTCAGTCCATCGGGTGGTGTTTGCTGGGAACATTTCCAGTAGGCAATTTAATAAGTATCATCCTTTATCAGAAACCTTATTAACAGATGGGATTAATGATAAAAAGCTAACAGAAAAAAGCAGTCCTAACAATCAGTTTGTGAATAATGTAAGCAGCCATCATATTAATAGTAATAGTGAAAGTGAATTGATTCTCTCTGAAAAGCAATGGCATTCATTTGAAAATACTTCTGTTTTGTGTGCACCAATGGCTTTAAACAAAGGAAGTTTGTTTCCAAAAGCTCTAAATACATATAGTATGATGGACAACAGTTACATGGCACAAGCTGAAATAAAGACTGTTGAAGATAATGATGCAGTTTTAAGTAGAATGGATAAGGAAATAGCAGCTTTGACCTCTGTATGTTTTGACATAGATAGACCCCACAAGAAAGCCAAAGATGAATTCTATAGTATTTGTATAATTGACGATGATATGAGAAATGAAGAAAGGCAAACAATCACTGATGAAGAGTCTATTACAATTGTACAACCATCAGCTATTCAGGAAGGCTGCAATTTAACATGTCCTGTAGAAGAGAAGAAAGAATTCTTCGTTCAGGAAGCAGAGCGTGTGCCAGTTAATATCAGAATTCTGAAAGATGCTAATCTGATGAACAATAATATGGTGCGAGAAAGTGAAAAGAAAAAAGATCCTCCCCTTGGCTTGGTGAGCGAGGGTTATAGATTAAATACTGAAAGCATAGCAACATGTGGTATAGAGGCACAAGCACGTGTTGAAGAAAGTCCTCAAAATAGAACTTGGGAAATGGATATGCTTAATAGTAGAATCATTTTGAATGAATCAGGTTGTGAACACAATTATTCAATACCTGTGGAGAAAGGCATAGACGTGAATTCTTTGCAATTAAGTAAGTTAGTGTGTACATGCCATTCCAGCCCTGATGATGGCAATAGCAGTGATATTAAACTGAATTTTGAACATAATGAAAATCAAACCATTGATGGAGAATATTGTAAATGTTTGTTATCGAAGCCACTGCTTCCATCAGAATGTAGTAATGCAACCATTGATTCAGTTTTTGTAAGACAAATTAATATAGAAACTGTAAGGCAAGGAAATAGGCAAAAATCTGAAAACAAACAAAAGTGTTTCAGGAATGTGAATGAATTTCAGACAATTTCTGATTGCAGTGATAAGGAAATATCAGATATTTCTGAACACAATAATCTACAGAATCTTTTGAAATATGAAATAGTTTCCCATCAAGAAGCTTCATGCAGTCCTGAAAACCTGATTAAAAATGCTATTGTTATGCTTTCAGCATCAAATGATTTAGTTTCTGGAGCAGAACAAACTCATGTACCAGAGTTTAGCAGTAATGAAGATTGCAACTCTGTAAGAACTGGTCAGCAACTCCAATCTCAAATAAATAGCATACCTTCAGAAAACTGTGGTTTGAAAAGAGGTCTGCTGGAGAACAAGGCGACTACCACTTTTTCAGACCTATTCAACATAAATGTTGAAGGTAAGAACATTGAAAAAGAAAATTGCTTGCAAGATCAAACCCAGCAAGATTTCTTAAAAAGCAGCAGTAAAACATATGAATATTCCCATGCACTTAATAAAGACAGTTATTGCTCCATCTCTTTGGCATGTTCTAAGTCAAATGAGTTGGATTTGGACAGGAAACAGTCAAAGGCATGGAGCAAATATATATTCTATAGGCCTGAAGAATTTTCTGCAAAAAACCTTATAAATGGAACCCATGAGACACTGTTTAATGAAGTGGAATCTGAAGATTCTGATGGTTCCAATATTAGTTTTAGTTGCATATTAAATACCAGTAATAATTCACCAGAGACGCATAGTGTACCTCCAGAAGGACAAGAAATGCTTGCAGATCTGAAAGCTTCTAGAAATCTGCAGACTTACATATCTAAGAGCCAGTGTGAAACCAAGAGGTTGCCTGCATCAGATTTACTAGCAACAGAATGCAAAGAAACACCTAGTAATTTAAATGAAAAAAGTTCAGACATTTATAAAAATAGCTCTTCACTTGAACAAAGTAAAACGATGACTATATGCCCACATGATCACTTGATTTCTAGATTTTCTGTTCATTATGAAAATTTATTACAAGAAAAAACAGAGAACTCTGTTTTTAAAGATAACCATGATGATGAATTAAAAACCAAGATAGAAAGCTCTTCTAAAGCAAGCCCTACAGGCAATGTGAGCTGTGGTTTAGAAACTTATGAAGATGCAGGTGTGAGTTTTATTGACCCCAGGCAAGAAGATAAGTATGCGGCTATTCCTTCCTATGAAATACCTCTTTTCCCTGATAACGAACGAGAATCTGAACAGGACAGTGCAAACAACGTTTTTGAGCTGATGGAAGATATATTAAAGGACCCTGATAATATGCAAAAACTATATCTAAGAGATTCACAAGATGATGCTGCATCCCCAATTTGTCAGTCTACTGAAATAAATAGTTTGTTTTCAGCCACTGATTTTACATATGGTCAGGAATGTATGAGCTACCTGTGGATCGATTCTTTTAACAAAGCTGAAAATGCATGCCTGTCAGCTGGCACAGTGCAAAATCAAGCTGGAGATCTGAGAGTTTCTCCTTTTCATATAGGAAAATATCCTTATCATTTGTTAATGAAAGAAAAGAGTGCTATTTGGGGATGGCAAGAGAGAGATGAAGAATGTGTAAGTTATTGTAATTTCATTCATGAACTTTCTTAGAAAACTCAGTACAAATAGTCCTCGACTTAAAATAGTTAGTGACTGTTCAAAGTTACAATGGCACTGAAAAAAGTTATATTTACGACCATTGCAGCTTCCGCACAGTCATGTAATCAAAATTTAGATGCTTGGTAACTGATTCATATTTATGACAATTGCAGTGTCCTGGGTTTATGTGATCACCTTTTGTAAACTTCTGACAAAACAAAGTCAATGGGGAAGCCAAATTCACTTAACAACCATGTTACTAACTTAACACCTGTGGTGATTCACTTAACTGTGGCAAGAAAGGTCATAAAATGGGACAAAAGCCACTTAACAAATGTCTCACTTCACAACAGAAATTTTGGGCTCCATAGTGATTGTAAGTCGAGGACTACCTGTACATGATTTGAAACTTAACTTGAAGATTTTAATTTGACAAAGGGTTACCTAAAGATCCTGTGGCTTGGATCTAGAGGTGCCTATTTGCTTAATGTACATTACTAATGCTTTCCTGCCAAAATGTTCTTGAGTTCCTTTAATGTTGCAGTTTCTTCACGGCCTGTCCCATTCTGTGAGAACATAGGAGGTTGCAATTGGCCCTATTGCAAGATCAAACTCTTCTCTTGTTTTGTAGAATCAATTCACTGTTGTAAAGTTTTCTAATCTTTTCCCGAGGCTTAAGCCAGGAATATTACTCCTCCCCCACCATTGGACAGGAAATGAGATTATAACTGAGATAGTTTGAGAAATACAATTTAAATTAGTGTAGCTTGACAGAATAACATTATGTATTACATAATTCTGCAAAATATACGGAAAAGTGTGGTGTATATGATCTCAAATGTCAAAGTTAGTACAGTGTTTAGAAGTAGCACCTAGCCACCTTGTTGAAATACAAGAACAGTGAGAAAATTCTCAGTTTATTGGACAACCTGTTGCAAAACACATGGGTTTTTCTTCCTTTTAAAAAAGATATGAGTTTTTTGTTAACAATATTAATGTACTCTCAAGATTCATTTTTCATGACTGAGATCCAGATGCAGGAATATCAATCAAGAACGCATAAATATTGTCTCAATTGGATTTGTAACCAAACATGTTTTAATATGACAATTGAATATTGCTATTGTTTAAAAATGATCAGGCACTGACTTCCTTACTACTAACTCTGAGGGACTGAATTTTGTAGTATTGTTGGCAGAGCTAACCATTTATCTTCATAAAATATTATGCTACATGTGTCTTATGCATCCTTTTGTCTTTATTTGGCAAGGAGATGTAATACTTAATGATTTAAATTCAGTGTATTATTCCTTTTAAAAATGTTCTCAGGCATATCTCTTTTACAGCTAGTGCAATTAAAACTAATTTCTTAAGGGAATTATTTAATTAAAAGGACCGTTTATAATGTAAACATTTAAATAGCCTTTTTATTATGAATTGCTATAACTAGTTAAGTTGTAAGATAATATATTAACATGGAGAACTATAAACCTAAAGCATCTCAATAGTTCTAGTGTAAATTTTACTTAAGGCCTTTAACCATGCATATTATAATTTATTGATTTAATTATCATTGGCTAGACTTGGACTTACAAACTACATAACCACTTAGGATTATGTGATTCAAACATTGTCCTGAGGTGTTAACCATAGTTATGCAACCTAATGGTTGGGCTTACATATTAAACACATTAAAAACATAATACAATGTATTCAAATTTAAGTTCAAAACTCTCCTCTGTTTTCACTGGTTAAGTGGCTCTAAAATAGCAATGATCTGTATCTCTATATGTCAATGGCTTTAACTTTAGAGGTTTACTATAAGAATATAGTATTGCTTTTTATTTTTCTATTGATTATGCATTTTATATGGCTCCTTGTCCTCTGTTGTCTTTATTATGAGTTGATGAAAATATTGACACTAATCTGACAATGTTCTCAATGACTTAGATCTACTTTTTTGTCATAGATAAGAATGTTAGTATTCTTGTTCTTCCAAAGCTTGTTCATGGGAACTGTAAGGATACAGAGCGTGTTATGGGAATAAGTTGTGCAAAGAGGTTAAAGTGAACATTGGTGGAAATCCATCCCTTTACATTGGAACAAATAGGAATAAATTTAAGTTAGCGAATATAAATAGTGTTTTTCATAATAAAGAAATATAAACATGAGGTGCTTATGATTTAGACTTAAGAAGCAAAGTGAATTCAGCTAAACATTCAAGGTCTTTATAGGAAGTCTCTTTTTTTAAAAAAAATATATTTTCAACTCATATTGTGTAGTTCTTTTATATAGGCAACTTACAATAATTTATTTTTAATGAGACAAATGCTGTGTGTATATCTGTATATGTGTATCTATGCAGTTAATGAACACAGCTGTTCTGAGTATGCATTATGTATTACAGGAGCCAGCCAAGGTTTCAGAATTAAATCCTAATGCAAAAGTGTGGGGGAATCACATGGTACACGTGGAAGCAAGTGGTACTGAAGGGGGTGTGAACAAACCCTGGGAAGAAATAACAGATCACCCACCAGATTCCTGTAAAGAAGGTACAAGAAATCTGTTTTGAAATACCGCATTATTACTAATACTAAAACTAACTATTTCTATTTATATAATGCTTTACTTATACAAATAGTTTTCCTTTCTTCAGTTAACAAGGTACCTCATACCTCCTCCCAGTCCCACATTCTTCTCTGTTTTTATTACAATTACAATGAAACCAACATTTGCTAACCAGTATGCTCCTCTTAGCTAACCTCTTGCTTTCCCTTCCCACACATCCCCATGCCCTAACCCAAAGGATATGCTTGTACATACTCTGTCCTAGTTGTTCAGTTTAAAAAATAATTACTTAAAAATTAATTAATCCCACCCTTACAACATATTAGAGGCACCAAGTAATGGCTTAGCTTGAGGAAAGAAGAAAAGTTGTTTGCCAGCAGCAGTCGTACATACACAAGTAACAAATCATTGCATATTTCTTGCAGGTTTCATTGAGAGAAACTTACAGTAATTATAGCAAATAACAGCAGTTAGTCAGAGTATGAAACCTTTGATGTCTAAGTCACAGCAAATGAAGTATATTTTTGTGACTCTTATAGTTTTCTCCACAGCATTAGAGGCTAATGGTGATGGTGACAAAAAACACCAGAATGAATCGTTAACAAAACATCAAGAACCATCACTATCTGTTCCATTATCAAATCAAACAGATATGAACCCTTTGGCTCTAGATCATGCAGAGTACGAAACTGTACATGAAAATACTGAGACAGGTATGGAAAAGGTCCTTGCTCATTCTTAAAGCTGTTTAGTTTTCTGGTTTATAGAATGATCTTCAGGAAATTTGCACATTCTAGCTACTGAAGAAACATACCTGAGCAGGACTGAACTGTAGGCATTGTTACAGATGTGCCTATATGAACAACAGCTGTGACTATTAAATCCGTAACACAGTATGAAATAGGAAATGCAGAGTAATAATTTTATCAGCAAACCCATATATGTGCGAGTCATCTAATTGGAATTGTTGCTTGTCTTGTTAGATTTGTCCTGCTTACATACAATTTGCTTCCTGTCATCTTCCATTGCAATATCAAGCTGAGTGCACAACTATAATATTTTAAAAATGTAACATTCCACACCCCCTTCAGCTTAACACAGAGCCACACAGAATCAAATCAGGTAGAAAGATTTTGCCTTATAGACAATGTTGGGGATTTGGATTTCTGATGATAAATATGAATGAAGTTTATGGATCTATATATTGTGTTACACTATTAATTTCAGTTATACAGTGAATTCATACCTTCAACAGGCTTATGCACTTCAAAAATTCAGTTCCAAGAAAAATGGAACAGGGTGATCTTGTCATGGCCCAAACACCAAGAAAAATCCAGAGTTTTTTCTAAGCAGTTTCCTTTATTGTTTCTCATCCACAGATAGAAATCTTGCCAAACTAAAGGAAACTACTTGCATCCTTAAGATATATTTTGAGGATACTTTAAGGAGGAACTGTCCCGACCTCCTCCTTCCCAACCAAACTATCTAAAATTTGCTGTCTCTTATCTTATTCCTCTGGAAAGCATTCCCTCTCCCCTCTCCTCTACATAACCACTCAGAGTCACTTTGGAGAGGGAGATGAGTAGCATATAAATTTAATAAATACATATCATGCAGAGTTTCTTTAAATTGAATGTTTTGCATTGGATGGTCATAGGAAAAAAAGATTATGTAAGACATTGGTACATTCTCACTCCTCTACCAACATTTACATATTTTCTGGCCTCTCTTTAGACCAGCGGTTCTCAACCTATGGGTCGCAACCCCATTTGGGGTCGTTCGACCATTTCACGGGGGTCGCCAAGCAAGGCTGTCCGCCATTTTTTTCCCCTTTTCCAGCGGGTACCTTACCTCCCTTGGGCCGGGCCAGCTGGTGGCCCAGCCGGTGGTCGGCCTGCTCCGTCTCTGCTGCTTGCCAGCTACGCCTCGGCTGGCGCAGGGGATGGCACCATGCATGCGTGGTGCTCCCGGGCAGGGAAAGTCCTCGACTTACGACCGGTTTAGTCCCCGACTTACGACCGGTTGGGGGTCGCGGCATTAAAAAGGTTGAGAACCACTGCTTTAGACACAGTAAAGATGAGGACAAAAATCATAAACACAACTTTATTGTAACCATTGAACAAATGTAGCTTATGTTCTCATTTTAACTCTGTTAGACAATAGTTGGAAAATATTTTTTGTATGATGGAACCATTGCCTGAAGGAGAGAAGGTCCTGATTGGGGGGGGGTCTTTAAAAGACATACCAGTTTAGAATCCATTTGGGGGGAGGAAATATTTGAAGTCAAATTCTTAAGTCTGTATCTGTTATTTCTCAACAATAAAGAAACCTGTTTGACCCATTCTCAGAATTATTCTGGTCCTTGCACCTGGCATTTCTGGATGCTTATATACCATTTGTTCTTAACCTATTTTGGAAGAGTGGTGTTCTTACCACTCTTATCATTTTCATTTGATGGGGTTATTTTTGAATTTCTGATTTGTTCACAAACCATGAAATGTAGTTAACTGGAAGTGTGCCTAGCTCTGACATTCCCTTGGTGTAGTAAAAAATCAAGTTCTTCCTCATCATTGAGGCCTACTGAATTGGCAGAATTACTGCTTTAGCTTGGTTTGAACCATATGTATATTTATTTCCACATGGAGAAGCTGGGAAATGTGAATAAATAAACGTGCCCAATGACTTTGCATAAACTGGAGGTCTGTATAAAAGGAATGTAAATAAAAGATCTTACAGTGAGTAATAGCCACAAAATGCTTGTAGTTTGAGTTCTCATGCCATAAGCATTTGCTCCACTAAAGGCTTTGTTATTCTGTAAGCTGCAGCTCCACACTTGGAATACTGCATCCAGTTTTGGTCACCACGATGTAAAAAAGATGCTGAGATTCTAGAAAGAGTACAGAGAAGAGCAACAAAGATGATTAGGGGACTGGAGGCTAAAGCATATAAGGAACAGTTGCTGGAATTGGGGTATGTCTAGATTAACGACGAGAAGGACGAGGGGGGACATGATAGCAGTGTTCCAATATCTCAGGGGCTGCCACAAAGAAGAGGGAATCAAGCTATTCTCCAAGGCGCCTGAAGGCAAGACGAGAAGCAACAGATGGAAACTGATCAAGGAGAGAAGCAACTTAGAACTAAGGAGAAACTTCCTGACAGTTAGAACAATTAACCAGTGCTCCAACACTGGAAGTTTTTAAGAAGAGACTGGACAGCCATTTGTCTGAAATGGTGTACGGTTCCTGCCTGAGCAGGGGGTTGGACTAGATGACCTCCAAGGTCCCTTCCAACTTTTTATTATTATTACTATTATTATTATGGATCATTGCACAATCAGCCAGATGTTCAGACTGGATTTGGCATTTTGTCTACCTATCGAGTTCTTACCCAGGACCTGGGATAGGCAGATGTGGATGTTTGATGGTATTACAGGTATCGTCGCAGGATGGAAGCAGTTCCTAGTAAGGCCGCCTATTGCAATTGACTAAGCAAATTTGTCAATGCCAATAGTATTCAAGTGGTGCTCCAGTTGTTTTGGGATTGCACCCAAAGAGCCTATTACTATTGGTACTACCCTTGCTAGCTTTTGCCACAATCTTTCTATTTCTCTTTGTAGGTCTTTGTATTTTGTTATCTTCTCCAGTTCTTTCTCTTCTATTCTGCTGTCTCCAGGCACTGCCACGTCCACTATCCAGACTTTTTTGTCTTTCTTATCGACAATTGTTAAGTCTGGGGTGTTATGTTGCAGGTGCTTGTCTGTTTGAATTCTGAAGTCCAGAGCAGTTTAATTTTATCATTTTCTATGACTTTCTCTATTTTATGATCCCACCAGTTTTTGCTTACAGGCAAATGATATTTTATGCAGATCTTCCAATGCACCATTGTTGCTACTTTGTCATGCCGCTGCTTGTAGTCAGTCTGTGCAATCTTCTTGCAACAGCTTACCAAGTGGTTCACTGTTTCTTCAGCTTCTTTGCATAGGCGGCACTTACTGTCTGTTGCTGTCTTCTCAATTTTGACTTTGTATGCATTTGTCCTTAAGGCTTGGTCTTGTGCAGACAGAATTAGTCCCTCGGTCTCTTTCTTCAATTTTCCTGCTCTTAGCCATTGCCAGGTTTTATTATTATCTGCTTTCCCAGCTATTTTTTTCATGTATTGGCCATGTAGTGCTTTGTCTTCCCATGCCTCTATTCTGTTCTTCATTTGATCTTTCTTGTAGGCCAGTTTGGTCTCTCCAGTAGTTAGTAAGCCTTCCTGATATACTAATTTCAGGGCATCTTCATCATTGTTCTTCAGATATTCTTCCAAAGCCATTTTTTCTTCTTCAACCATCTGATGTACTTGTAGCATTCCACGCCCACCTATTTGCCTTGGTAGATAAAGTCTATCAATGTCACTTCGTGGATGAAGGGCATGATTCATTGTCATTATTTTTCTGGTCTGCCTATCCATTGCCTTTAGTTCTGCTTGAGTCCAGTCCACTATTCCAGCTGTGTACCTAATGACTGGGATTGCCCAGGTGTTGATTGCCCTTATGGTATTTCCTCCATTGAGTTTGGACTTTAAGATCTTCTTCACTCTCTTGATGTATTCACCTCTAATCTTTTTCTTGACTATTATTATTATTATTATTATTATTATTATTATTATTATTATTATTATTATTATTATTATTATTAAATTAAGTATAAGCCCGTAAGTCGTATCAGTTGCAAAACAGACCACCTACATGACCAACTTGATAATAGAACCTTTTTTTGCATCTGTCAAAACTTAGGAACTGGGTCATAAATATATCTGAAGAGGTCCATCGTAACTTCAAATGATCACTCAGTGGCCAGTCATAAGTCGAGAGCCACCCGTAGTGTCAAATAATATGCACAATACTAGCTATGTTGTTTTAAAATTGTAATGTTTTCCTTAATCACTAGAAATAGTTAAAGCAAATAAATACTTTTTTCAATCATGTCAAACAGTCAAATTTCAGATGCTGTTACTATGTTAGATAGATAGATAGATAGATAGATAGATAGATAGATAGATAGATAGATAGATAGATAGATAGATAGATAGATAAATAGATAGATAGATAGACAGACAGACAGACAGACAGACAGACAGACAGATAACCTTTATTGTCATTTTTTACTGTGGGCACAATATATACATACATAATACACATACAAACATACTATATACAACATATGTATAGACCTACACCCTTACATATTAGTAACATATAAATATTAATCACTGTCCATCTTGAATACATAACAGAAGGATGAAGCTTTAGAGTTCACAAAATTAATATATAATGTTATATATACTGTGTATTAAAAGATCCAAAACAGTGATAGCTGAGTATTGGAGGCCCTTAATTGTTTTCAGATACATAACACCAACCTTAACCCAAAAAGTTACTTATTTTTTATTTGTAAATGATTTCTTACAGCTTGTTAATTTGGAAATAAATCATGAATAAATTGTGTATTAAATCTTAAATATATTTTTGTTATTGACTGTTCAATTTAGGTAATTTCTCTTTTATCTAATATTTACCCTTCTAAATATTAGTTTAACACCATTGATTTCATCTGCTGAGAATCAGAGGTCTTAGCTTATCTCAAAAACCTGAACCAGTTTAAATCTGGTTAATGCTTAGATAGGAATTTCCTGGTGAGTCTGAGTAGGAAGTTTAAAAAGAAGAAAAGTGGTAAACAATTTCTATACTGATTTAAAAAAAACCTGTATGGATTTGACCATGTAATGTGAACACCACATGCCATAATGGTAGACTGTCTAGGCCAGTATTTTTCAACCATAGCAATTTAAGATGGGTGAACTTCATGCCCCAGAATTCCAGCCATTATGTACTGGGGAATTCTGGGAGTTGAAGTCCACCCATGTTAAAATTGCCAAGATTGAAAAATCCTGATATAGGCTGATCACTTGCTACTTTTATGAAGAATTATATACCATTTTTTTCTTTGTTTCTTGTTTTCCATTTTAGGAAGTAAAGAACATCTTCGGCCAGAAGGTCAAGAAGATTTACGTGAAGTGCTTAAAAAAACACTGGAGTTCTGCTTATCAAGGTAAGTATATAATGGATATAATATAGTCAAGCCTCATGTTATTGCTAATAAGAGGACAGATTAAATGTTAATTAGGGTGGAATAGGCAATATAATTAATTATGAGTGCCATAACCAATATGTTAGTCTCTGGACTGCATAGAAATTCATGATCGGGCTGGGATATATTTATATGCTAATTTTATAGCTTGAAATTCAGAAAGGATTGGGAAGGAATGAAAACTCAATAGTGAAGATTTTATTTTCCTTAATTGTTTAATTATCTTATTTCCACAACTGAATCGCAAAAGATAAAATGCAATTATACAAGCTGCCAGTCATTTGCTAGGTATTTCGCGGGCTCTCTATTACAGGAAGGTTTGTTATTTCAGTACTTTAGAAGAACTAATTGTTGAGAATAGGTGCAAGTCAATTGTATGCTGTCCTCTGCACTAAAAATATTGGTACCTTATTTTGCTTATCATTAAATGTAAAGTGCCAGACACTTGGAACTCTTGTATAGAGTAAATTATATAGCAGTAATTTTTCAAAACTCACCACATGATCTGATTACTGTTAGTCTTTAATATAAAGCTATAGCTTTAAACTAAATTTAATGACGCTAATGTAATCCACATGCTGCCTTCGTGACTGGCTAGAAGTTTGGTAATATCACACAAGTGTTTTTTTTTTCTGTCTACCTGGATACTGATTTTTAAAAGCATCTGAAAATGGGCTACTTTTGGCTTTCTGTGTCAGATGGTTCAAGAAAAGCAGGACTTAACAATCTAAGAGGCAAGGACAACAAGTTTGGCTGTAATTCTGTAATTTTGCAAGAAATGAAGTGTTTTAAAGTGAAAACATGACTGTATCTTAATATTTAGGAATAATTTTAAAGGGCAATGCAACGAACACCCTGCTAGGAATTGCATGGAGAGTTAATTTTATACTGTTTTTTTCTTTCTTTTTTTCCCCCTTCTATAGAGAAAATCTTGCCAGTGACATGTATCTTATATCTCAGATGGACAGTGATCAGTATGTGCCAATAATAACAGTAGCTAATCTTGATCACGTCAAAAAGTTGAGCACAGATATGGATTTGATTGTTGAAGTGCTGCGATGTAAGTAATGGCAAATCATGTATTATTTTGCACCATTCTTTAGAATAAGAGAGCTTAGTTGAGATGGACAAGGTTGAAACTCATTTTTATTCCCTTAAGAAGTAATGTATCTTAAAATGACAATACCATTTTTTTTGTAGGAGAGTTTTATAGAATATTAAGTTCTTTTATCTTAAACAGAAATAAGTCTTTTTATACAGGCAATCCTTGACTTATTGGGACTGGAAAATTTGTTGTTAAGTGGTACAGATGTTAAGGGAGCTATCATGTGACCACATCTGAATTTATGATCTTTGCGTCACATCATTAAACAAATCACCATACCCATTAAATGAAACATAACATGATTGCAATTTGAGACCTTCCTTTCCATCTTCCCATTAACTTTGCTTTTTGGAAGCTGGCTGGGAAGATCACATTGATCATGTGACCCCAGAATTCTGCAGTCATCACAAATCCAAGCTGATTGCCATTGACCAGATTCTGGTCATGTGATCACTCATCATAAGTGTGAGGATCGATCATAAGTTATTTATTCCAGTGCTTTGAACAGTCACTAAATGAATGATTATAAGTCAAGAACTACCTATATATATATTCACTAACCTGACTCAGGCTTAAGGAATGTACACGTGCCTGCTGGCTTCTTCTTGTGAATTATGAATTTGCAAACAGATATCCTGAATAATGGCAGTTTTCCTGAACACACTGTACATTGAGTGCCTTACTTTGAACTTCTTAGCACTCTCAAGAAAATCTGTGTTGGAGTTAGAAAGCCTTTAATAGTCAGCAAAAGGATAAAATGACTTCTTTTCTAAAATGGTTCTGCCATCACCTCTTAATAAGAAACACATATTTTTCTGAGAGTGCATGGTTGAAACCCAGGAGAAACACCTTCTTTAGGAGGTCTCCTCAGCCCCATCCAAAGCCTCTTTTCCGCATCGGATTACAATAGCTGTGTGTTGCTGTTTAAAGTTTAGACATGATAGATAGAGCATGGTAGAAGATAATTTCTACCTTGGGTATTGAGTGTGTTTGATGGTATAGGGTCAGGTGAGCCTATAGTATGAAAACTCAAGTATAGTATCTTCCTTTCCCAGAAGCCCTCTAGATGTAGTTGTTAGGGTGGCAGAAGAGAGGTGTCTTTATCCCACATCCTCTCATTTAACTCAAGTGTGTCACAGAGCCTAGGAGCTCCCAATCTATAGTCAATAGATAAAACTTTCAGTGGCAAAAGAAATAAAAATAGCATGTTGCTCCATTCATAACAGTATCTTAAAAGAACCTCCTATAAAATGTTTTAAAGGAGAATTTCAGTCTGAGGCAAGAGATAAGACATTTATGAATAAGATAAAAGACACTATTGCTCAGAGATCTCAAAATGCATTAAACATAGAATATATGAGCTTCCATAGTATGAAATATGTATCAGAACCAATAAAGTTCTGCTTGTCCATAGGAAATAAAGAATAACCTTAGTTCATTGCTAAATAAACATTTATCTTTGTTGCACAAATACCAGTCCTTTTGAATAGTGTAGAGTTCTTTCCTGTTCATTTTTACTTTTTGGTTTTCTGGAAATTCCAAATTTAAATTGGAGCTAAAAAAGGTTTCTCCTTTTATCCATTCTAATATACTTTCTTCCTTTTATTGGTGATCAGTCTGTATTTTATAGGAGAACAAAGTCCCTTCATACTCCTCAGTCTTGTTTCAGTTAGATTGAATATAGATTTAGGCTCTGAATTTGTTTGGGAACGGTTATAGCAGGGGAAAATTATATTTTTAATTGATTCCCCTGTTTTAATAACAATTGAGCTAATTCTATTATAGGTTAACAGAGCAATGGTTCTCAACCTGTGGTCCGCGAACCCCTGGGGGGGGGGGGCTTGATGTCATCAGATGTTATTTAAATCTTGAGTTAAGTTTTGGGGGTCCATGGCTATGGTCACAAAAGGTATTTAAAGGGGTCTGTGGTGAAGAAAAGGTTGAGAACCACTTTAATAGAGTATTAAAGGTAATAAATACAAACTAGTTGCAACAACATTGTTTGTTTGTTTTTAGCATTGCCTTTAGTCCAAGTAGATGAAAAAGGTGAAAAAGTCAGGCCAAACCAAAATCGCTGCATTGTAATTTTGCGTGAAGTACCTGAATCCACTCCAATTGAAGTAAGTATATTATTTCATCAGAGTTTTTAGTTTTATTTTTTAAATTTATAAATATAGTAAAACACTAATAAGAGAGAGGATACCTGGAGCATTAGTTTCATGACCTGTTCTTGAATACTCTTTATATTCAATGCTAATATGGCTTCAGTTGGGGCTGAATTAGTCATGGTTATAATTCTTAATGAACCCTTCTTCTCTTCAGCCCTGACAAGCTATCATTCCATCCACCCATTTATGTATTTATTTTAGGAGGTTCAAGCACTCTTCAAAGGTGAAAACCTGCCTAAGTTTATCAACTGTGAGTTTGCCTATAATGACAACTGGTTTATTACATTTGAGTCTGAAGCAGATGCACAACAGGTAAGTATGTGTGCCCTTGTGCATATGTTATGTTGAATTATCTATGTTAGAGACTGTATGATTCAAGTTAATCATGGCTCAAGCACTATGATGAGAACACAACCAAAGAAGACTACAGCTACTAAGTGATCATAACAGACCATTCTCCCATGTTTGGAACAAAATGCTGACTCTGTTATGCAAGTAAAGGATTCCATAATTAAATATACTAATTATTTCCCACAGTTAATTTGGTAGTTGGCAAATAATTAAAGGTAGTCAGAGCAAATAGTTAAATAAGCAAATAGCCACAGGCAGGGTTGTCATATAATTGGAAGTTATCTAGTTGGGAAGGGATTCATAATGTTAATAGGTAAGTCTATTGTAAACATAGCAAGATGATTTATCTCCCCCCCCCCCCCTTATTAGCATGGTCTTGGTAGATTTTGGAAGCCTGATGAAAAGGACCCTGAAGCTATCAGTTTCTCATATGCTATAAGATGTCAATAGTATCACTTGGGTTCAAGTCCCATTAAAATGAGTTATATAACTTATTCCTGTTGGCTTTGGTAAATTTAAAATGCCTATTCTGTGATTGTCAAGTTTGCCTGGATTTTTCAATTCCCATAACTGCAAAGATTTCCAGTGTTTTCTCTACCTGATGCTTTCCCACAATATGCAGTTAATTGCCAGATCAAAATAACACAAAAAAATTGATGCATTTCCAAATATAATATATTATTTGTAAGTCTGAATTATATATGGGCATTTTTCTTCATATAGAAAGGTATTTGTGCTTTTTTCCCATTAGTTCAATTGCACCATTTCAAACAAGTATATCTTTCTCTTAAAGGCTTACAGATATCTTAGAGAAGATGTGAAAACTTTCCAAGGAAAACCAATTAAGGTAAATGTATTTTGGAATTTGAAATTGTAATTAGTATAATTCTGAAAAGCATCTTCTAAGAATACAATCTTTTATCATTTATAGGCAAGAATAAAAGCAAAAGTAATAGCTATAAATTCATTTTTGCCAAAGAATGGATACAGACCTGTGGACATGAATATCTACACACAACAGCGTTATACAACATCATTTGCATACTTACCTCCAGTATACGGACCCCAACAGCAATTTCCACTATATAGTTTAATTGCACCACAGGCCTGGTCTACAACACACAGCTATATTGACCCATCATTGGTAAGCACTGGGGAACCATTTGTTTGTTTGCTTGTTTGATGATGTTCATGCTGTTGCAAAATATTTTGGGGGAACTGTTCAGGGGGAGAAAACTTACACAATTGTATTTTACAACATTCTATGTATTATTCCTCTGTACCAAAAACTCCCTGTGTATCTATGCTTAGATGGAGAGGAGTATCCTAAACCTGTCTGCAGTGATATTCAGGAAAACACAGGAAACTTTTAATAGGGAAAATAAAAATCCTTCTACCTTTGAAACCTGATGGTATAATCTTGAAGCCTTTAGTATTATTTGCGCTCTTTTGCAAAGTGCGATTTTTAACCCTGTGCTTTCCTTTTTGAGTTGACATCAGGGTGTTTCCTGAAGTAGCTTATTTTAGAGTTAAATCTATATTACTTGATCTACTACTATGATTCAAACTCAGAACATTCTGTTTAATAAAATGTGGGATGGAAAATCAAACTGATTAAAATTCAGACAACGTGCTGTAATATAACATGTTTTTTTTATATTTTAAAACTTTCGGTGTAAATCAGATTGATTGTTACCTTGTCCTTGATGTGTATTGATTTTTATAAATCCATTAAACTAAGCGTACTAAATAAAATCTCGTAGGATGTAAAATTGCATACTGAGACATTTTGTCAAGACATTTCTCTCTTGTATGCTTGCATGCTTATTTTCTTCATGTAAATTTTTATCCGGAAGAACCATGGTTTTAGAAATATAAATGTATTTATATTGCATTGTATTATATTATAAGTATATTTATTAATATATTCTAAAGCTAAGGTTATACAAATATAAATGTATGTAATGAAAATATTAATAAGCACAAGTAGATACTTATAAGGAAAAGTGAAGTGAACTAATGAAACCATTGTGCTATTTTCAGAACTTTATGGATATATTGAAAGTTTCAAATGTACATCTGAAATTTTCTGTTCTATAGGTTGCACCATTTCCAAATACTGGATTTATCAATGGATTTACAGCTCCTTCTTTCAAACCAGCTGTTGCTCCACTTGCTACTCTTAGACAATATACACCAAGAACCAGGCAAGTTCTGTTAATACATTTTTGTGTACCTGGACAATATGCCTGGTGCAAATAAACTCATATATCTCTCAGGGATTTCTGGCATTATTTCATCACAAAATGTCACCATTTCTATCTCTTAGTCTCTTAAAAAGGCATACACAACAAGAAAGGCAGGTAAAATTGAATAGGGAAATATTTGTACAGACGACAAAGAACCAGTGCCAATTGGAAATTGGCTGTAAATGTTTTATAGCGAATTATGAATTCCATTACAAAATGACCATTGAGTCATAACTGCTGTCTTTGTGCAGAGAAGCCTGCTTCCAAAATAAGCTATGGGCGACAGCCACAACCTAACCCTATTCTAAAGATGCCTCTAGGATTTGTGTTTGCCCCAGAGGCATTCTTGGAAATGGAGACTGCGGTTGAGGGTAGTGCCAAACACTGTGATCAATCGATCTTAGACTCCAGTAAAAGCTTGCATGTTGATGCAGTTCTAAACATCTCCTGAAGATGTCCTATGATGGCTCTGAAAGGTTTTTATTTTTCCCTGTCCAGAAATCCCAGCAAATCATATCTACGGCATACAATTCCTACTGTAGACAGAGGGACTGGACTGCTAGAGAGCCCTACAATATTCAATCTTTCTGCTGACCGATTAATCAACGGTGTCAGAAGCCCACAAACCAGGCAGCCAGGACAAAACAGAACACGGATGCAAAGTACTACAAGCTACATAAAGCGAGATGTAGGGAGCGGGCGAGTAGAATCCACGGCTTCAGATTCATCCCCCAGCTTAGGCAGAGGAAGGTGGGTATTGAAATTTAGGGTAAAGCACTAGCCCCTGAGGTTGGGAATGTTGTGTGTTTCCATGTTAGAGATTTCAGAAAGAAGAATTCTATGGAAATAAAACAAGAAAAAAATTCTCAATTTGTATTTGATAGTATAATCAAAGGCAAAACACTAAGGATATTCTCATGTAACATTAAGCCGTGATGAGTTAGTTCTCTTCAGTATATGAGCCAAGCTTTGTTTATAGAAAATAGTTTCAGTGTCCAGCTATGAAGTCTGTCTGTCTATCTTATCTATCTATCTATCTGTCTATCTATCATCTAAGATAATCTGATTGAGTAGAAACATAACAGCATATGGAAAATAGTGGTGCAGATGTCACTTTTATATGATAATATGCACAATAATATTTTGTGCGTAACTTACAACTATTTATCAAAAACGCTGATTGCTATTTTATTGAATTGTTTATTAAAATGGATCTAATTAATGCAGCTTGGAAAGTAAATGGCAATGAAATCACTTCCAGAAAAAAAAAATATTTTTTTGAAGAAGGGAAAAAAAGTTATTTAATGAGCATCACACCTTGGGTTTTTTTAATATTTAAAATAAAACAGTGTACATCTAGACTTACAGAATTCTTGCATAAGTAACCTTCAGTGAAAGTTATAACATTTCTGGATTCAGGTTATTGGACATTTCTGATATTCCAGAATGCTAGCTGGAGTGCTACAAATAAATGGAAAGCATTAGGTTGGGTAGTAAGGCCATTCAGACATGTATAACTCTTCCTCTTGGAAATTTGGGACAGTATACAAAGTCCTCCATTTTCTATTTCCATCCAAAATTTTTCATGTAATGAACCTGAGAAGTAGGTTATACTAGGCTGAATAATAGTGATTTGCCCAGGATTGCTGTTCACATACCTTAGAAGAAGAGTCTTGAGCCTGCTTCTTTGACCTAACTGAAAGTTCTGACAGCTACACCCCAAAGGGTTTCTCGGTGTAACAGTACAATCACATTTAAGAATGAATAAGTTGCTAATAATGATGACTTCTGTCCTTCCAGAAAAAACTCTTACGGCTATCGAAAAAAGAGAGATGACAAGTTTGTGGTGAGTATGCAGTGTCTAGATATTCAGTTGAGACTAATACAGTAGCACAGCCTTGGTGAGGAATGATTTGACATGATGTTAAATGGTGATTTAAGCAGTAAAAATACCTATTCTAAATTACCCCAAATTGTCATGAGGTAAATGCCAAGGTTGATGGTGACTCATATTTGCATTAGATTTTCAAGTTGTTAAAGCAATTTTACAAAGCATCTCTCTTCCTGGTGCAGCTCTATTTGAATTCATTTTCTGTCCAGAAATTAATTGGTTCTACAAACATAGGAGAAAATTCTCCCATAACAAAATAACTGATTCTCATTTTAGTCACCACAAACTCCTTCATGTTTTAGCTGATCCTGTTCTTATTTTTCTCCTTATCTATAATTTCTATCTTTTTTTTTCTTTTTGCTTTTAAGTGGATCTTGTTTTAAAATTTGAATCTCCCTTTCTATTTTTTTTTTCCACAAAACAGAGAGGCTCACATTATTGGTCATATTAGTAAGAAGAAGAAACACTTAATTCTCCCATTTAAAATATTACAATGGATATTGTTTTCAGCTTCTTGTAGAGAGCCAACTAGAATCATAATTAAAGGAAGCTGAATGCTGGATGGCTATGTTTTTAATGACTAATTGAAACTTAAAAAAATAAGATTAAACCTAATATAGACTAGTATAAAGTAAGAAACAAGAAATCAATAAGAAAGAAAGTGCAAGAAAACAAAAGTTGAATATAAAACAAAGAATATATATATACATGCAGACAGCCCAGGTTCGAATCTCAGAAGGGTATGTCTGGTTGAAAAGAGCTAAAGAGTTTGAAATAGCTATTCCAGTTCTCCCTTAATTCTTTGCTAGCAATCCAAATTTTATATATATAGATAGATAGATAGATAGAGAGAGAGAGAGAGAGAGAGAGAGAGAGAGAGAGAGAGAGAGAGAGAGAGAGAGAACTTCTGATACTCTTCATAGCAGCTATAAGTACAATTACATTTTAATCTCTTTCTCTAAAGTTACATCATAATACTCTTCTTTCTCTAATGTATCCTAATAATCAAAATCATAAATCTCAAGTTCATTTTTTCATTTTTACACAAAACTCTCTAAGAGCTTTCTCTATCTACCAATAAATGTAGATAGTGTCTTTTCTGTAATCAAATAAGTTAATTATCCATTTCTGTAAGATGTGTCAATTTCACCACACATTCCTCCATAATGAATAGTGTTGAATCTTTCCTTCTGTCTGAGTGACTGTTTTTCATGCTTAAAATTATCAAGTTGGGCCCAGAGAATCTGCACCAAATCCTTACAGTAAGAGCTGATTTTTTATATATATATTCACCTGGGTTTCTTGAATTGAGATGATGGTGAAAGGACTTTCTTTGTTGCATTACCTTTCCTTTGGGACAGCCTCCCTTGGAGAATCACTCCCCTCTCACCATTCCTTCCTTCGGGACAACCTTAAAAATATGGCTGCTCCCGTAGGACAGTGATGGCGAACCTTTTAGAGACTGAGTGCCCAAACTACAACCCAAAACCCACATGTATCGTCGGGTTCCAGGTGGGCATGGCCCATTGAGTGGGCATGGCTTTGGTGGTAACGCCAGACTGGGTGGGACTAAAAAGTTCAATCAATCAATTCCAATTAGCGAGATCTTTTTTTTCCCGCAAGAAGTTGAAATTGACTGATTGATTGAACCTCTTTTTTTTTTTTTTTTGCACACTGCGGTGGAGGCCGAAAGCGAAAAGGTTTTATAAAACCCAGCTGAAGGCCTAGGACTTGGGCAACAATATGTGTGCCCTCAGAGAGGGCTCTGCGTGCCACCTGTGGCACGTGTGCCATAGGTTCGCCACCACGGTCATAGGATTTAGTTACGTTACTTACTGTCTAGATTGGGGTGATATGGAAGACTGTTTTCTTCACGGTTTCCTCGGGGTGATGTTTTTTCTTTATAGCATGTTAATTCCTCTCTTCTTAATTTTTGTTAAAAATTATTTTTATGTTAGATAATCTAGAAATTGATTAATGGATAGATGGCAATGTTAATCCATACTCATGGACAGTGCTTATAATGCATTTTATTTCTTTCTAATTTATGAATGATAAATTTAAATCTATATCGCCTACTCAGGCATAGCCTGTTGGCAGGAAAGAAATCTATTTAATAAATAGAAAGTCAATTGATGTATCTACTTTATGACTGCTTGAGTGTAAGATATGCAGTTATGTTCCTTTAGATTTTGATTGTTTTCTACAAGTTTGGTTCCTTTTCCTTGATTGCTGCTGTTGTCTTGCTTTCTAATCCTACATTTCTCTTACAGAGAGGGCAAATGCAGTCTCCACCCCCTATAAAACCGCCATCTCCGAGTTTTGAGCTGGGCTTGTCCAGTTTCCCTCCCTTGCCTGGAGCTGCTGGCAATCTAAAGACTGAAGACTTGTTTGAAAACCGGTTGTCAAATGTGATTGTGTCATCAAAAGAAAAAGTAAAAATCCATAGATGTTGGGCAAGGGGGCATTTGGGGACACACTTTGATGTTCACTCTGAGAATCATGATTCTTTAATGGTACTTGTGATTGCTTTGAGAAAAGAAACTCAGGGACACCCAGTTATAAAGTATTGCTTTCTCCAGTAGGCTATTTTCTATAGTGTTGTTGTACTTGATAGTAGACTTGCCAATATCGTTCTGCTTGACATGAATGTTTAAGTATCTTTAAGTCCTACTCAGAATGGTATGTAATGGGATATAGAATCTTCAGCCTGGAAAATGATCAGATTTGGTGGAAATACTTACTGTTACATGTGTGGCTAAACCCCTCAGATAACGAACTGTATAGCATCAGATATTAACTCTACCGTTTATTTCTTGTGGTGAACAGTTTTTGAAACAGGTCTACATTTGGATAAGATCAAAGCAATATATCATATTCAGCATTGACTTTGATGCAGATTGACATTATTTTAAAAGGTCATCTAGCACTATTGTGCCATGCTTAGTTTCTGAGGTAAACGTGACTTAATCTTTCTTTAAGATTTTAGTAATCTACAACAAGGATTGGACAGGGCTGCTGCAGGTAGTCCTTGACTTACAAACAAAATTCAGCCCCAGATTTCTGCTAAGCAAGGCAGTTGTTAAGAGAGTTTTGCCCAATTTTACGACCTTTTTTACCAAAATTGTTGAGTGAATCACTGCAGTTGTTAAGCAGATCATATGTAATTAAATAAATCTGGCTTCCCCCATTGATTTTGTTGGAATCCGGCTAGGAAGGTTACAAATGGTAATCAAGTGACCTCTGGGAGGCTGCAGCCATCGTAAAAATGCCAGTTGCCAAGTACCCAAATTTTGATCATGGGATGCTGCAATGGTCATAAGTGAAAAATGATCATAAATAATTTTTTCAGTGCTGTTATAACTTAAATGTTTCATTTAGTGACCATTTGAAGTCAGGGACTATCTGTAGTATATTTCTTCCAACTCTTGCCTCTGATGATAATGGTTTAGTTATAAATATAATGTTGTTGAATTGAAATGTAGTTTAAATGACTTGAATTTTGTTTTTCTCAGGGCATCAGTGTAGGTACAAACACAATACCAGCTGGAATTCCTCGTGAGCCTTCTTTGCCAGTTTCTTCTGCTCTGCCAGAGACATCTGAAATATCTCCTTCCCCATCCCAAGCTCCTGAGTAAGGATCTCATAATACAAAGCTTTGTACACATTTCCCATCATTGAAAGGCTAGATATTATTCTGTTAATGTTGAACTATTTAATAAATAACAGTGCTTGTGTAATAGCAGCTTGTGTGAATTGTGCAAAAGCGCATACTGACTTACAGCTTGATTGTCAGTGTTGAAAAAAAGTATCCATATGTCTGCAAGATAAACAGTTTCTTACAATAAAGATAAATATGTTTTCTCCCATAGTAGAGATTTGCTAAGGAGCTGGCAGATGTTATCTCAGAACAATTGCACCACATCTTTCATAAATCCTGGAGCACCGGGGAAGTACCTGAGGATTGGAAAAGGGCTGATGTGGTTCCCATCTTCAAGAAAGGAAAAAAAACAGACCCAGGAAACTACAGACCAATCAGTTTAATATCAATACCTGGAAAGATCCTAGAAAGAATAATCAAAAAACAGATCTGTGAACGACTTGAAGCAAACAAATAGCTAGTAGCCAGCATGGGCTGTTAAAAACAGATCATGCCAAACCAACCTTATTTCATTCTTTGATAAAGTGACTAAACTAGTACACCAGCGAAATGCTGTGGATGTAATATACTTAGATTTAAGTAAGGCATTTGATAAAGTAGACCACAACCTACTCCTTCTAAGCTAGAAAAAAGATGAAATAGACAACATCATCAGATGGATCTGATGGATCAATGAATAGTCCTTAATGGTACTACATCTACAAAGAGGGAAGTAAGCAGTGGGCTACTACAAGGCTGCATCTTAGGCCCAGTACTCTTCAATATCTTCATCAATGACTTAGATGAGGGAATTGAAGGGGAACTCATCAAATTTGCAGATGACACCAAACTGGTAGGAGTAGCCAACACCCCAGAAGACAAACTCAGTATCCAAACTTGAACAATGGGCCCTATCCAACAAAATGAGTTTCAATGTGGAGAAAAGCAAAGTTTTACATTTAGGCAGGAAAAATCAAAGGGACAAGTACAGACTGGGTGAGACCTGGCTTAAAAACAATAACTGTGAGAGGGACCTTGGAGTCCTAGTGGACGATCACTTGACTAAGCCAGCAGTGTGCAGCAGCAGCCAAAAAAGCTAATACAATTCTGGGTTGTATAAACAGAGTCATAGAATCAAGATCATGCGAAGTATTATTACCACTTTATAAATCCTAGTAAGACCACACCTGGAATACTGCAACCAATTTTGGTCACCATACTACAAAAAAGATGTTGAGATGTTGAAAAAAAAAGTTCAGAGAAGAGCAACTAAAATGATCAAAGGCCTGGAGACTAAAACATATGACGAAAGGCTGCAGGACTTGGATTTGGCTAGTCTAAAGAAAAGAAGAAATAGGGGAGACATGATAGCAGTATTCGGGTATTTGAGGGGCTGCTACAAAGAAGTGGGATCATGTTATTCACCAAAGCACCAGAGGGCAGGACAAGAAACAATGGTTGGAAACTGATCAAAGAGAGAAGCAACCTGGAATTAAGGAGAAACTTCCTAACAGTGAGGACAATTAACCAGTGGAACAGCTTGCCCCCAGAAATCATGGGCACTCTAGTCTATTCTATTCTAAAAATGTCACTAGGCAGAAGATAGAATTGAGGTATTTTCATTATACTCACAGGTTCTTTTCTATTATTTTGCAGTAATCCCAAAGCTGTGGACAAGCAGAAAGAAACTCGAAGTACTCAAAGACTTTGTTGCATTGTTACTACTGCTTCTAAATCAGTACAAGTCAATGGTGATCTTCTAGCAGTAAGTGCATTTTGATTTTTATAAGTTGATGAGAAGCTTTTGGCTTTTATATTTTCATTTTTATTTATATTAGAAGAGAGATTTGTTGCCATAAAAATACATCACACTGAACCATAATGTGATCCATTTTGTTTTGACTTAGTATATTATGCAAATCCAGTTCTCTGATACTTTTCAAAGAAATCATCATGTTTTCAAAGTTTTCTCTAACGTCAGAATTCCAGTTGTCTTAGAGATGGCAGACATAGAAGTCTTAAAATTATGACATGCTGAATCAAAACATTACAATTAAATACCAGCACCAAAGTAGTCAGAATGTGGTGTATGGGCAGTAAAACCATTTTGTCAAAACCAGATATGTTAATATCTATCTTACATGCTGAGAATCAAGAATTAAACTATAATGAACCATTGTTATTATTCATAGCCAGCCATTTTAATTTAAAATTACTGGATTATGGTTCACTTTGTTGTTTGAATTAAGCCAGTTGAGGTTTATTTATCAACCATGACATAATGCTGCACTACATGCCGGTTCATGTCTGATCATGACTGTTATAGCCATCCTCCTGATAGTTTGCTCTTATAGGTAGTCCTCGACTTACATCAATTCATTTGAAGTTACAGTGACCAATCCCCAAAATTATGGCCGTTTCCATATCCCCATTGTCACATGATCAGAATTCAGGGATTTAGCAGCACACCTGCCCTTAAACCTGCTTCAATTACCTCCACCCACCTATCTCCCTCCATTTGTGCCTTTTTGGCACCTAGCACTGCACATTTCCTGCTGTCCTAGTTGCCCTTTGCCATCTTCTTGCTTCCACTGTTCTCCAAGCATGCCTAGCCTTTGCGAGGCAACTACTGGCTGCACAAGGCTTTCTTTCTTGTTTGTGCCCAATGGTTTCCTCATAAAACCTGGGGAAGATGGTTTCACACTGCCGACATTTGCCTTAGGAAGAGCTAAGACATACCTCATCAGCAGTGGGAACAGGAAGATGGCAAAAATTAGCTGGGATGGCAGAGCACATGGTGATAGTGGCCTCAGAGTGCATTGGGGCAAGGCTGAGGTTTTGTGCTCTGCTGCTGGGGCTGGGCTTTGCTTTGTGTTGTGGCTCAGGATCTGCTCTCAGGCCGAAAACCACAGCATACTAAGAAGCCATTTTGCTGCACACTGCTGGGCTGAGCCGAGGCTTCTAGAGTTGATGGCAGTCTCACACTGTAGTTCAGGATCTTCCTACAGACCCAGAGCTGCAGTAGGCCAAGAAGCTCTTGAGCTGAAGTATGGCAAGCAGCCTCAGAGTCACATGATTCGTAGGGTGCAGGGTGATCAAAAGTAAGGATTTCTATCACTCTGAAAATATTACACTCTGATGTCTATCAGGGGTTCAAGTTTCCAGTGCACTGTTGAATGTCTTACTCTATTTATGTTTCAATTCTTCAGAACAACAAAATTTCTTAAGGAGTAACTCTTCATGCTGGAGAATCACAAATCTAAGCAAGGCCTTCATCTTATTTTGTGCAAAATTAATATTTCTGATGATGAGACTGTTCAGTTTTATTCAATTTTATTTGTGTGCGTGTGTGTGTGTGTGTGTGTGTGTGTGTTTTTAATAAAGCAGGAACGGCGGAAACCTAGTTATGCAGAAATCTGCCAGAGGATCAGTAAGGAGTCAGCTCCGTTGCAGTCCCCAAAAGAACAGAAGCCAAACACAGTTGGTTGTGGGAAAGAGGAAAGAAAGCCCACAGAAACACTAGAAAGAAGCAAAGAATTGAAGTCTAAAGACCAGTGGAGACCATCAGGACGCAAGTCTCCTCTTCCTTCAGCCATTGGGAAACGTCTGACTAAAGAACAGAGCACTCCTCCCAAATCTCCTCAGTGAAACTAACACTTAGGATGAATTTCAAGAAGTTTTCACTATGAAGTTACCCTATGTTGACACTCAGAGTACAAAGGAGTTGCTGGTTAAAAGCTTGCAGGAGTTATGAAGTATATGAAAAGCTTGCTAGGTTTTTTTCATTGTTGTTTGTTGTTATTGTTTATTTCTTGTAAAATAGATTTTTTTTCCTTCTCTTTTCTTACATCCTTATCATCAAATTCCCCTTGAGTAAACAAACAGTCAACTCTGTCGGGGTTTAATTAAACTTTATGTTAGGTTGGTGCTGAGCTTAAGACGATGCCTAAAATCTTTTTTTTTTCATTAGATGGAAGATGCATTAATCTGAAATCCATTTTTTATGAAGCCTCCATGTGGCTGTATGAAAACAAGCTTGTTCTAATGAGTTTTTTTTCCTAATTTACTAGACAGAACTGGGCTGCTGTATTTCTTTAAATAAATGGTTTATAAGTAGGAATCTTCAAAAAAAAATCCTGAAGACTAATAATAGCAGCTAATACATAAGGTATAAAGCAGAACAGATGTTTTATAAAACAGACAAGTTTAACTTTTTTTTTTTTTAAATTCCAGTTGCTGTAGCAAATCAGCAAACAGGCTATACTTTTTTTTTTTTAAGTTTAGAAAATAAAACTGGTTCTAATATTTTTGTTCTTGGCCAAAGGAGAACTTCATAAAGATCAACTGTGAATGTTCTCTGAATTATTTGTATTGATAGTCTGCAAGCAAGTAATCAGTTTCTCAGTCCAAGCTGAAATGATACCATGAATTTCAGGAAAAGGGGAAAAAAGCACATTATGAATTATATAAATGTACCCTTCTGTATGGCAGATGCAAGCTAATGGCAGTTTTTCACAAGATAGCACAATAGCACTCTTGTGATGAAGATTTCATTTTTTTCCCCTGCTCTCAACTAAGGAAGCTATTTTTGAACCCTTTTCTGGCTGAACCCCTTCTCTGTGTAAGTTTTCAAAACTGTGTCCCAAATGCTCTTTGAAAGAGTTCATATCTTAATCAGCCTGAGTGCTGACATGTTCTGTAACTACCAACATTGGCATATGGATTTAATATTTTTTTTTTTGTCCATGAACTGATGGTGTTTTTGTATGTGTGTGCATGTATGCGGAAGAAAGACATTGCCCTGTATCCTGCCTGGGGTGAGATTTATCACACTTTAGAAGCAATATGCTTCCTGAAGGATAAGGCTGCACTTAAATTAATAAATTTCTAATAAAGTTGCTGGTAACTATTTTTGTTTTAAATACCTAAAGTTTTTCCTTTCAGTGTTTAAGCAGCAGATGGTTCAGATCAAAAGGTGTTCCTGCTAAGTACAGTTTATCCCACCTACACACACCCACACACCCAGACTCACACACACACCAAAAGATTTATTTAAACAACTGATTTTTTTTTAAAAAAGAACTATTTCCATCCAATCTTTAAAGACTTGAATTTTATTTAAACTTGAAAATGACTTTGCCTTAACTTTTGTATAAGACAGCTTAGAATTATTGAGGTCTGACCCTCTTAAGGGTTAGCACGGGGTGGCATATACCGAATTACTCAGTTACAGTATATATGTATTGTCACTGGTCTTACTGGGTAAACATACTCTAGTATAGGTTGTGGTGGCAGTTTTTGTAATATACCTAAAAGATCTTAAGCAGTTGATCTTTTTCAAAATGTTGAAAAATCTGTAAATGGAAATAGTCAATACTGTATTAAAATGTGCACTTGGAAGTGTGTGCTTTTGCTTGTACAGATGTAAATAATCAGAACATATAAAAAGGTACCATTAAAAACCGATAAAAATTATTGATATATTATAAATGTTGCTGTTGAACTGGATGTAGATAACTTAAGTGTTGTGGTTTGAATATTACTTTAATTTGTTTTTCCCTTGTTTTCTTTTCTTTACTCTGATATGTTGAGCTAAGTCTGCCTCTTCACTGCTAAGGGGAATGGAAGGAAGTCTATCTTTAAAAGTCCTGATCTTGTAAATACTTTCTGGAAGTTTTGCATTTCATTCATGTGGAACACAGGTGTGCAGTATAAATGTCAATTCCTAGGAGTTGAAATTTGTGGCATTATTTTAATGGGATTAGAAAGAAACAACATTGCCACCAGAAGCTCCCATCCCAAATATACTCAACCACTGGTAAGCCAACATGTTAGTAAAACTGGGTTTAAATGTCTACATAACTACTTTAAAAAAGCAAACAAACAAAAATCATAGGCAGTAGATCCCCTAACATAAGTTGCTGCTATTTATAATTATCCTTATCAAAAGAAAAACAAACAAACCATCTTGCTCCTTGCACTGCAGACTTTAAAACGGCAAGTTGAGTCTTGTTTGTTATTTCCTGAGAAGACACACAAGCAGAGAATCAAAATCACCTTACTTAACATTGGTTTAACATTGATCTTTCCCCCCCCCCCCACGAGCAGTGACAGGGGCAGTAAGACAGGAGGTATGATTTAGGCCGGCTATGAGTTGTCTTTGTCTGCTGAAAGCATGAATAAAACAGCTGCAAACAAAGAGGTGGCTGGGACAAGTATAAGAGCTAATCATCGGAGCTAGCTGATACAATAACTTTTGCAGGTCAGTAGAAAAGACTGTATTTTTAGTGAATTTGCTGCTGCTCTTTGTACTAGGCTAATACACTGTAATTCTCACTCAAATAACAGTCTGTGACAAAAGTTTGAAACTTTACTGTGATGACTTTTTTTTTCTTTAAAAGAAAGTTCATGCCAAATAATTTCTCCAGTAATTTTTAACGTTCTCATATTCAAGCAGTTCAGGACGATTTAACAACACAGGCTATTTATGTTTAGCTATTCAGATCTGCCTTTTTTAAAAGTCTTTTTAAATTATTGAGTGCAGGTTAAAACAGGAAGAACCCATTGGAAATGGTGGACTGGAAGGGGTAAGACTACTTTGGTGCTCCTTGTATAGAATTATATAGGTTCTTCAGAGTCTGTTTATTCAAAGGATGCATTCAGATATAATTTTGTTTCTGCGTATTTAACATGTACAGTATTTTTGCCTTGGGATATCCTATCTACCATTACTACCCTTGCTCCAATTTTGCATCTAGTCAGAGAAACCAATAAATTGTCAAGCTCTTAATTTTGGTTCCTTTTTTTTCCTGCTTCTCTTCTGGAATTAGAAATTGTTTCATTCCTTGGATGCAGTGCATTGTCACAGCCACTGATTGACCAAGGTTTCCAGTCGTTTCTATATCCCTTTCAACATGCTGTAGTTTTTAGGGGTTACGGGCCCAAATCAGACTGCTAGCAGCGGACAATCAAAGGTTACTGCAAAGTGATAGCTGCCAAGTTATTAAAAGCAAAGATGTCATAGGGAGGCCATATTTTTTCCTGAAGGTGGGTTTTTAGTTCTTCTGTTTAAGACTGGAATCAAGCTTACATGTAAACTATTTGATAATTTAAGTTTCCTTTTGTGTCATAAAATGTACAACTGTCTAAAAATGTAGGTTATGAAAAATAAAAAAATTTTAGCACTGTTGAGTTTGTCTCTTTTTTAAAAAAAATTAAGTTTTTAAAACTTTTGTCTTTGCACTCACTTATATTTAGGCTTGTTGCAACAAAGACCAATATTAGGAGTTCCTTTGCTCCCTTCTTGGGATTGTCTGGTGCTCTGACAATGTGCCAATTTGTCAAGCAGTTTGCTCTTTGGTAATGTTTGATTCCATGGACAACACTGACTTCCTCAGCTAAGAATCGAAGATGAGCCAGACACAACTGACAGGGGAAACTTTACCTTTATTTTTTAATTTAGCTTTTGAAAGGCAATGGTTATCTTAAAATGATTGGTTTTGCCATATTTCAAAGCTATTTGCCAGATTTGTTTTTAAGAACCTCAATTTTCTTAATCAGCCCCCTCATATATGGGAATTGTGGGAATATGATACCTATGCTAGAATTTGTTCACACTGTAACCAAATTGTAAATGATGTTGTTTCCCTCTATGGATTTTTTTTTTTGGGGGGGGGAGTGTTTCTACAGCAGTAATTTCAGACATTTGCTACTCAAGACTCTTCTCACTTTGAGCAAGGGAAATGGCTATGTTCATATAATCAAAATTGCAAGCTTTTAAGATCCTTTTGTTGTAGGAAAATAAAGACACCAGGGCTTTGCTTAGGTACAGGTTTAGGCAAGAGTTGTCCTATTGAAATCAATTACGTTTAGATGTGACGCCTCACTGTTATTCTTTCTCAAAAAAGAATAACAGTATGAGTTGGTACAGTATATTTCTTACAGTCACTTAATTGCAATTTTCAGCAAATGCTAATTTTGTTCCAATGGGAGATATTCCAAAAACCAAATGAGGGAACAAGAAAAATATATCCAAACTGCAGCTTAACAATATGTATAGGATAAAGTTTTGGGAAAACTCGTGTCAAGAATTATTCTGTGAAGCTGGAAATCTAATTATCTAATCTTATTAAAACAAATTGTGCATATTGACTACATAGTAAAGATATTTTGATTGATCCCTATTGGCTGCTCAGAAATGAGGCTGCTTACGAATGTTGTACCACCTTCTAAGATACATACCATCAGAACAGACAGTATTAAATCTTTGTTCCTTTCAAATATCAGTGATGAAAGTGCTCTTGGCAAGTAGCTTTATACTTCTCGATGAAGGAAATTCAAAGTTCCAGGAGAGAAGCCTATTGGAATTCCTGCTCATTATTCCAGGTAGAAAGATGCAGAAATCCGTTAGAGCTGTTTTTTATAATAATTAGGTGGGCGACTTAAAGTATTTGATTAAAAGGTCTAGCTGCAATTAAGATCTCATTCATAACAGCTGTGGGTGAGTTCTTTGATGCCAACCAAGATTCCAATTATTCCTGGTTTTTATTTTGAGGACAGGCGTAGCAGTGTGGATAGGTGGGAGAGACTTACAAGCAACTTGCAACCTTTCTGGTTTTCCCCATTAACTGCTTGTAGGAAGCTGACAGAGAAAGTCACAAATGATCACAAGACCATGGAGCACTGCAACCATCATAAGTGCGCGCCAGTTGCCAAATACCTAGATCAGATCAGGCAGGAAACTCTTATTTGTGCAAGCAGCAGGAGCACATGCATGCAAATGGAGATGCATGTCCATGTGGTACCATCCCCTCTACTACCAACCCACACTGGTTTGTAAAGCTAGAAAGGTTGGGAATGCTGGCCTAGATCATGATAATTTGACTGCAGGGGTGCAATGATTGTAATTTCAAGCCCAATCATAAGTACTACACCTTCAGCACTGTTGCAGCTTCAAATAATTGCAAGCAAGAATTGCCTATAATTTAATGATATAGAAAGGCACATCAATCTCTATGATTATATGGAAGATATCTTGAGATTACCATTCTCACAAACAGAAATGGACAGTTGGAGATGGGAGGAAGCAACTTAGAGAACGATGAGTTTGCCCTTGATTTAATGATAGATGTGAGTTGGTTGGTAGGTTTTGTTTTGCATTGACTTGTATTCCAATTATAGGAATAGGTTGATTGTCTTTGTGTGTGTATAACCTCACCCTAATCAAAATAGCCCTTTGGTGCCGATATTCTTTACCACTACAAATATGTCCATATCCTTCCAAGTAAATTGGGGTCCCCTGTGTTGAAACAAATCTCTTAGATTAGGGGTGCTCAAATGTATTCTTTACATAATTTCTCCATGTTAAATAGCCTGACAGCCCACAAACTGTTTCACTGCCTTCTATGCATCTAGAGAAGATGAGATACAGATAGTCCTTGACTTACAACCAAATTTAGCATCAGATTTCTATTGCTAAGTGAGACAGTTGTTAAGTGAATTTTGGCCTATTTTAAGACTTTTCTTGCCACAGTTTTTAAATGAATCACTGTAGTTGTTAAGTTAGTAACACAGTTGTTAAGTGAATTTGACTTCTCCATTGGCTTTGCTTGTCAGATCACAAAAGTGACAGTGGGATACAGCAACCATCCTAAATATGAGTCAGTTGCCAAGCATCTGAATTTGATCACACGATCTCGGGGATGCTGCAATGGTCATTAAGTGTGAAAAATGGTCATAATTCACTTTTTTCAGTGCCATTGTAACTTTGGTCACTAAATGAACTGTTGTAAGTCGAGAACTGCCTGTACTGTAATTTTCCCATATAACCTGTAAGTTTCTTCTTAGAAATGTTTTTACCTTTTTCTAATGAAAGTAAATAGTCTACCTTCCTAATTAGGCCTATGGTGATGAAACATCAAACTATTTGCACATTGTCAATGAAGTTTTAGTTGACCTAAAACTTTTTTTTCAAAAACTTTAATACAAGGAATGAAAGAGTAGACTTGATTGATAAGAAAAAAGACTCAATGTATGAGCCATCCTTACATTTTAGTCACGACTGCTCTTAGCATGAACAATTAGGATGACATCATCTCTGCTGTGTCAATCCAACGTCTTCACAAAGTGAAAAATTCTTGCAGCTGGCTTGGATAGGAAAACTGACTAAGCAGATGCCTGAAGTACCCATGGAGCTTCCTACATCAAAAGCAGGGCCTAAGGGGGTTGGGAATTCAATCCTGCTCTGAACATATGCACTCAGCCTAGGACTGAGGTGTTTGAGTACTGTCTGAACACGGGAAAGTTACACTTGGATTAATTAGCCTGATTAAGCAGGATTTTGCCTATGGATCCTCTTTGTCCCACCTAATTGCAAGCAAAAATGTGCCAGCATCATTCAGACCCATTGTAAAGCTAAATATTTACCCACATGACCAACCCTTATTGCTTTACTATTCACAGACCACTTGAGGTATTATGGGGCAACATCAATATTTAACGTTAAGTTTATAAACTTTTTTTGATTCTCTTCCTCACTGAGTGAGATACCTGACATATTATATTGTAATATTAACTTGTATGAATACAGAGATGTTTTTCTAAAATGAATTGATGGCACTTTGAAATACAGGTAGTCCTCTACTTACAACAGTTCATTTAGTGACCATTCAAAGTTACAACAGCACTAAAAAAAGGTGACATGACTGTTTTTCACAGTTATGACCTTTGCAGCATCCCCTGGTCACGTGATCAAAATTCAGATGCTTGGCAACTGGTTCACATTTATGACTGTTGCTGTGCCCTGTGGTCATGTGATCAACTTTTGCAATTTTTTGACAAGTAAAATCAATGAGGAAGCCAGAATTACTTAACCATGTTAGTAATTTAACAACTATTCATTTAACTATGGCAAAAAGGTCATAAAATGGGGCAAAACTCACTTAACAAATGTCTCCCTTAACATAAATTTTGGCTCAATTGTGGTCATACATTGAGGACTACCTGTCTAGCTAGTCCTTGACCATTCATTTACCACTGAAGTTACAATACAACTGCATTGAAAAAAGTGACTTGTAGCCAGTCCTTGCATTTATGACCGTTGCAGCAGTCCCACCGTCACATGATCACAAATCGGGGACTTAGTAATTGCATGAATTTACAAGGTGAATTGAAGTGTCCCAGGATCATGTGATTGCCTTCCCAGCTGGTTTCCAACAAACAAAGTCAGTGGAGAAGCTGGATTTGCTTAATTGGATGATTCACTTAACAACTGCAGTGATTTACTTAATAACCATGGCAACAAAATAAAAAATTGGGTGCAACTCAATAACCACCTTATTAAGCAATAGAAACTCTAGTCCCAATTATGGTCATAAATCAAGGACTACTTGTACTGCTTGGAAGATAGCCTGCTTGAGGCATAATGGAGGCAAAACTAATAATAAAAACAATTTAACCAAGCTAACATAGGCCCACAGGAAGCTGCAAATCCATTGAAACCTTCCCTGAAGTTATATTCCACCTGACAAGAGCTAATCAAAGATATATTGCCCAACAATGCCAAGTTTGGCCCTTAATACCTTTCCTCACCCATCACATTCCCCCCAAAAGATCATGAGATAACTTATTGGGAAAATTAGGCATGGAAAATAGGATTTGCTGAAACCAACAGATGTAATATCTGTGCACAACCCATTACAACATTTTAGGAGGACTAGTTAGCCAATACCTCCTCTAGGAAATTAGAAATATTTGTGGAATTTTAGAGATGGACATTTGGCATGAACATGCCATGTAGAAGTTAGAAATGGCTACTTTGGATTCATTCATTTTGTGATCCATGGAATACTAAGAATGAGAAAAGAGTTAATATTAGGGTGGCCAGTTGTTTCTTAAATGTTCATTTTACAGAACAAAGGTTGACTCAGTTTCCTGGGGAATAATTGGCAATTGTTTCATTTACATTATCTTCAGCAAATGTCATCCAAAGGCCATTTCCAGAATTTTTATTGAACTGAATCTAGAAAATCAAATTTATTTGATCAATTTCAATTAAAAGTCCAATTGTCCTGCCTTAGTCAGAGGAAGAAAAAGACTCAAAGGACTTCTGCCTTTCATAAGAATGATGCGATGGCATCTGGAATTATGACTTCTTGTGATTCAGAACTTGCAATCTTGTTTGCCCAACCC